TTTATGTCCACTCAATATCAAATTGTTGATAAGTTTGAGGATAAAGAAGAATTAAAGAGGTTGAAGCTCAGATTTCATGTTGTCCTAGGTAAAAGAGAAGAGGAGATTTGGTCATTAGTGAAGATTGTGAGGGTTCTCAACATCTCAAAAGATGTTTTGTTCGAAGGGGTGTTGCAGAATTACAGATTTCATGTTGTTCGAGCCAACAATGTTGCTTGTGACTTCTCCATAACAGATTTTCCCTTGATGAATCTTCATGATCTCATCAGTGTTGCAAGCATATTGAAAGGTGTGGATGTTTCGAAGCTCCAGATGACAAGTAAAGAAGACTTTCTAATTGGGTTCACACATATAAAGCTGTTCATTAACAATTACTACGATTGTCTTGCTATGAAAAATGTGGAAATTGCTCTTGCAATGGGTCGTCAAGTCACGGTGCCCCAATCGATGATAAAAGGTCAAGGAAGTTTTAAAAACTTTGAAGACAGAGAAATTTGTGTGAAACCTCTGGGTATTGTTTTTGTTGGGAAGAATAAGAAAGAGAAAAACACCAAGTTCATTTTACAAGTTTGTGATGTGGAGAAGTACACCACTTCTCAATATACGAATCTTCTTGTTCGTATAAATAGTTGTAAAGGAATAATGATGGTGACAAAGTTGAGATATGAAGAACAATCAATTGGTACTCAGAGATCAGAAGAGTTTTACATCAAGCGGCCTAGATGCTAATTACTTAGGATTCGACACTGCTCACAGAGTGGGAGAATGTTGAGGTCGAATTTAGTTGTGAGGTGTCGAAGTGTCCTTTGTCTCATGTTAGTTTCAAAGTCTGTCTTGTATGTCTACTGAAGGGCGTGTTTGTATGTCGAAGCGTTATTGTATTTGTCATTGTGTATTTTTTGTTTACTTCTGTCATTCCTATAATTAAATAGGAATAGGTACTAAAGTTATAATAACTTTTGAGAGCTTTCGCTATTCTTACTCTAAACTTTCTCTGTATCTTTCAGAAGTATAATTGAGCCAACCAGATCTTATTTACGATTCGGTGTTCTTGTTTGATTCATACTCTGATTTCATTTTCATTACTTGATTCATACGAACTACAAAAGTAAAGATGTTTTTGCGTTAATGAATTGGGTCTTTTGGACTTTAAAAAGTGTAAAAAAGACAATTATTAAAACTCCATGAATATAAATACAATCGAAATACATCTATATAAGAACAGTAATAAAATTTGTAAGTTATCCAAAAATAACAAAAATCTTTTAGATAAGACTAAAATCTTGGAAAATTTTACAAACTCCAACAAAAAAGTTAAAATTTATTTGAATATGCCAATTTGGAATAAAATTGTATTTTTGATAAAAATACAATTCTTTATTCAAATGCGACACAATAAATTTTTCTTTATTCTATTTTTGTACCAATTTTTCTAACAAAAGTTGTATTTTTACTCAAATACTTTGTACTAGTTTGTTTGTTTTTTATATGAAACATTCTTTTACAACTAAGCAAAGAAGTTTTCTAGAATTTCACCATTTATTTGACTCTCTAGAAACATACATATATTTAAATACATACACAAAAATGCTAAACCTTTGCTCTGTAATATCGTAAGACTGGTAGGAAAATGTTTGGGTATGATTTTAATCTAGTCAAGAAATGAAAAGGATAAAGCTCAAGTGGTTAACCAAGGAACTTAAATGTAAATGGTAAGTTTAAGGCTAGTTGGGTGTTGATAAAATAAGAAATAAAATATCGGATGATGTTGGTATTAGAGTATTTTTTATTTGAACTTATTTTATGATTTATTATTATTTGTTTTATATTATTTATCATTTATTATAAGTGGAACTATAATTTATTTGTTTTTTTATTGATCACTCCATATATTGAATGATCAAAATATTCTTATGTATAATATATCTAACCCCCTTATATTTTAATCATATTTTATTTACCCCTTAACTAAATTTTATTTTTATATAATTTTAATTCATTTACTAGTTAATTATTCAATCAAATATTTAATGAAATTTTATTTATGAATTATAAATTTGTAATGGTTATATAATCTTTTCAATCTTTTTTATAACTACGACATATTAGTTTTTTTTTTGTAATTTACATTTATGAAATAAAGATCGGATATATTTTTATTTCTAATGATAATATTTATTAGAATATTTTCTATTAAAATATGATGTGTGATTAAAAAATGACTAATTAAGTTGATGAGATTTTATAAAACATTTTAAATAGATAAAAATAGATTAAGTAAAATTAAAGAAAAAACTATTGAAAAAGGTTAACCATTGGAGATGTTATTTAGCTATAGGTTAAATTTAATAGAATAATGATGACAATATTTTTAAATTATAGTGTATGTTAACAATTGAAGATGCTCTAATATTCTAAAAGATAATTAAGGGATAATGACTTAATATGGTGATGTATTTTTCATTTTGTACGTATTTAGTCACTGAATTTTTTATCCACATTTGACGATTTAACTTGTTTTTTTTGTGCACATTCAATCCTTATAATAGGTTACTCCAAATTAAGCTAGAAAAACGACTTAATATGGTAATATAATTTTCAGTTTGTATACATTTAGTCTTTAATTTTTTGTACATATTTAGTCCTTAAGATCAGTTTCTTTATATTTTGGTCAATGCATCCTACGTGGGACAATCATGAATGAGGTGTTCGCATATGTGGCTCGTCTTTCACTTATAATAGTAACCTAATTCACGAATTGGTTAAATAATGTCGGTGCCCTAGTTTATCCAAGAAGATTATGTTTTCGGCTTCGGTTTCATCTATCTTCATAGAATATAACAATCTTGTTGTCTACTATAACGTAGATGAAACTGAAGTAGAATACATCTGCTCCTTAGAGAAAACAAAAATGTCAACTGTATTTGACCGATTCATGAATTAGGTTACTGATATAAGTGGTGGACAAGCCACGTATGAGAACACCTCATTAATAATTGTCTCACGTAGGATGTCCTGCGCAAAATCTGAAGAAATCGCTCATAAAAACTAAATATGTACAAAAACATTAAGGACTAAATGTGTAAAAATTGGAAATTTATATTACCCTCTTCAGTCTTTTTTTCGTCTTAACCTGAAATAGCCGGTTATAAATAATAAATATGTAAAAAAAAAAAAAGAAGAAGAAGAAAAAGTAATGGGTCAAATTTAGACAAAAGAAAATTCAATGACTAAATATAAACAAAATGAAAAATACATTACCCTATTAAGTTATTATCTCTAGAATTTAAGCAAGTTATATAAAGATGATCTATTAAACTATATAAAGTGTGTGGGTCTATTAAGTTGCACTTTCTTATTCTTTTAACACATCCTAGTGTTGTTTCTATATCTAACCATGTAATACTAATCAGTGATCAATGTTTATGTTTTACATGTTTTATTCTACAATTTTATGCAAGCATAAAGTTTCTAAAAAAATCTAAAATCTCAATATGCAAGAAAGGGCATGTAAACATGAAAATTTGGTAAAAGGACCAACCATACTAACACAATTACATTTTTATCATATTTCTAGATTATTTCCATTTTTTAATTGGTTTCTAATAAAAATTAAATGGATATAAAAACATATAAAGCTACGATCTGACCTCATAGTTTCGTAGTAGATGAGGCTTTTATATGTTAAAAAAATAGGAGAACATATAGATTTTTTTGTTGGATTCTATTAGAAATCGTTGGATCCGATTAGAACACAACATGCTTCAACATTTGGTTTGTTGCCTTTTTTTCTCATTAAAATATAGAGTTTTAAGCAGAGAAGTCTATGGGAAAAAATTTGATAAAATCCCAAATGTTTTTTTAACACAAAAGTCCTATTATTTTAGGAAAATCATATAATCTGTCATTTCGTTTTAAAATAAAAAAAATAGTTAATTTGGACAAAATATTAAATACATGAGACTTTTCTGTTTAAAAAAAACATTTTGGACGTTATAAAAAAATTTACCAAAATAATATAACTTTTCTACATAAAACCCTAAAATATATACACCAAACATCCCAAACTTCAAGCTTTGCATTGTCCTCAATATATAAAACAAAATAAAATCTTGAAACGATAAAATAAAACTAAACAAAAGACAAATATACAAAACAAAATAAATACATCCTCAATTTTGTCGAGGTTGAGGATTGCATTTGGTAGGGATGTTCCAAACATATTTTCGGACCGATGTTAAAGTAGAAAATGGGCCCATATAATATATAATATAATATATATTATATATATATATATATATATATATATATATATATATATATATATCTTTACTTTATTATAAGGGAAAATACCCCAAATAGACAAAAAATAGGGGTCAATTTCTAAATTTGTCAAATTTTTTTTTCCAGATATAGACATACTTCCGCGAGGACCCTCCGCGGACCTCCGCGGAACCATGAAATCTCCGCGTAGAGGGGGTAATTTCGTAAATTCAACCAAATTTTTTGAGAAAAACGAAGGGGACCTCTTTTGGTCCCCCACTGGTCCCCGTTCCTCTTCGTCATTTCGCATCAGGTCGCATAGGCATTGATCGAAGACTTCAAATCCGGTGACGACTTCAACTTCGGCGACGACTTCAACTCCGGCGACGACTTAAACGACTTGAACTCCGGCGACGAATTCAACTCCGCATCGGGTCGCACAGCTCTCTCGGTCACCGATGGACCCCGAATTCCTCGATGTTATGGCCGATGGATACGGTTCCCGGGTATTTATCACATTCTCATCTAATTATTAATGTCGAAAATGTCGAATATGATTCAAATTAGAGGAAAACCCATTTTATTACATTGAAAATGTATACAAATTTAGGATTTTTAGGTTTAGAAATCACAGGTACGTTATTTGGGATGATCCATTCCGCGGAAGGGGACGTCAGTCCGCAGAGGGTGCTCCGCGGAGTGATGTGTTACCTTCGCGGAATGTTATAATCGAAGCAATGCAGTCCTCCGCGGAGGCTAGAGGTCAATCCGCAGAGAGGCCTCCGCGGAATGACCTCTACCCTCCGCGGAATGACCTTAAAAATTGGTTTTTGCAAAATAATTTTTTTTCTGCTTTTAAGTATGTTGCTATTTATTTCATAATGAAATAATATTTTTTTTATTTTCAATTAGTAATGTTTTAAATTAAATAATTTTTTTTGTTGTGTAGCACGAAGATCTCAATCAAAAAGCGGATTTAACTTTGAAAGGCGTGGTGGGGACTATCATTAAAGACTATTTTCCGCGCCTAACACAATCACAACGAGTATTATTCGAAGGTTCCCCCTTTGGAATATTCTTAGGAATGCATATCCCACATGGTGATCCCTTACTTGTGCATATGATGATGTTGCACGAAGTAAGGTGTCAACAAATATTTGAAATGGGGAGGTTTTTGTTTGATATAGAGGGGATCCAGTTGGGTTTTGGTGAAACTGAATATATTCTGATTTGTGGTTTAAAAGTTGGTCCTTATGTGGATTTACTCCATGACGAAAAGGGCCAGTCAAATTCAAATCTCTGTGCTCGGTTGTTCCCAGATATTTCTGATGCACGTTTGCGGCTGAAAGATTTAGAAAATTTAATTATGTCCCCGAATTATTTGGCACTACAAGATGAAGATGTTGTGATGCTTATCCAGCTTGTTTTTATGTTGAAGGGTCTACACGGACGGGACGTTAAAACGGGCATTCTTGCAGCAGTATACAAGCTTGCTGATAATATAGAGGATTGGAACATGTATTACATTTAAAACAGGCATTCCCGCAGTAGTAGGTAATGCACTAATTATAATAAATAAATTGAAAATTGCAGGTTTGCATGGGGTACGTATTTCTGGAAATATACTTCGCGTATGATGCGTGGAATGTTTAAGAAAATAGAAGAGTTTAGAGAATTCAAGCAGGCCAATCCCGAATCGAAGAAAGTACACAAGTATACCGTTCCCGGTTTTATGCTTCTGTTTAAGGTTACTTTCTAATGCATTTTAATAGTTTTCATTGTTTAGTTTTTTATACTAAAAAAATTTGAACTTCGTTTTGTATTATATAATAAGTTTGTATCATGACTTTTATAGTATAATAGAACGATACTTACATTTTTTTCATAGATATGGATTTTGGAGACGTTCCCAGAGGCAACCAAGTTTTATATACGCACGCCGACAGAATTGCCACGGATGAGGGCGTGGAGAAGTAAAACACCGTTAAATTGGGTTCAATGTTGTCGAATAATGAAAGTGTCTGTGGTATGGTTTTTATATTAACAATCATCTATATTTACAAATTCCAATGTATTTTCATGTTAAACTAACAATTTGAATTTTGAAGCCTAACAACCAACCTATTAATGTCATTGCAACCCCGGAGGAGCTGATGTTGTCATTTTATGTTCGTTATGTCAATTGGACTCTTAACCCTGTAGAGTCTCCCCCACGGCAACATAGTCATGTCCGAAATAGTCCACCTCATGTTGCCTCGCCTGCTCGAAGAAGGATGTACAAGTCCGAAATACAAACATCTTCGACTGAATCTACCATAAATGCTTCTTCCTCGCAACATCTTGAAATAGAAACAAGTTATATGGCAAACAACACATCAAGATTGTTAAAGAAGAAGAAGACAAGCACACAGACATTAGTAAAAAGCGTCTACTAGGCGTTGTGGCTGACTTAAGTTCTAAAGTAGACCGTGTATTACAGAAAAAAGATGAACCAGACACAAATGTTGAACCAGACAGAGGGTTTCGAGAGGAGGAAGAGGTGGAGGAGGAGGAAGAGATGATAAATGAAGAGGAGGAAGAAAAATATTACCATCATACACATTTTAACTATGATGATATAGGTATTCATGGTTTGGAGGGGGAATTTGGGTCTACACCTACGCATGTTGAGCCGTCATCGGACGTGGGTGAACATCACACAAAAGAAATGACTCCTATTGTTAGGCCGCAACGAAAGAGGGGTGTTCCATGGTATCAGCGGACTCCGTTCACAGTGGTACAAAACTCATATTTTAAATTTGGTATATTTTTAAAATATTAACGTATTGATAATTATTTAACATGTTAATTTTTTAGATACAATCCACACCAAAATTGAAGAAAATCACCAAAGCAATGAAAAAAAAGTGGTGAAGAGTCCTGAAAAAGCAAATGAAGACATTGTGAATGAAGAGAGTAATGATGTTTCAAATCATCTCCTGCTCGACAGTGTTGAAGCTGCCAGTACGTTGACTTTTTGGAAAGAATGGAATAGGATCTCTTTCACCTAAACACTAAACATAGGCTGCATATGCTCACACTGGATATGGAGTTTTGGTCGAGGTTACTTGCAGTTACTGACGCTGGGTGGTTAATTTCTTCGGTAACATTCGTTAAATATAATTTTTAACTACATTTTTAGACGATAATTTATATAAAAAAACTGTAACATTTTTATCTTAAAATATACAGCATATGCGATATGGAGTGCCTTGCTCATGGAAAGACGGCCGGCGAACGCAAGGTGGACGATATTCCCTCAAGAACTTAATTTGCAAAACGGAAAAACATATTTTCTTAGGAATATTGCAAATGGTGTCGGAGGCCATCCTAAATGGAAGGATGTGGATATGGTTAGTTAAGTTTATTAATTATTTATTTTATATAGGAAACGAATTAATGACTATTAAATTTGTTTTTGTTTGCAGGTTCTATTCCCCATAAAGGTTCCTCATGCCCATTGGTTTTTGGCAGTGCTACATTTAGATATTTGGAAAGTACACATTTATGATTCAGCACGATGTATGAATTACTTCACAACGTACTTGACTGGTGGAGAATTCAAAAATTTTGGGGATAGTATAATCGAAGAGCTAGATGCGATTGACTACTGGAAGGATTTCCCCGATGGACACAAAGACAACGCAGTTGTGGAGTTTATTGATATTGTAGACGCGCCACAACAAGAATATATTACTAATAGAGGGGATTGTGGAGTATTCGTAAGCATGTATATGGAAATGACTGCTTCGGAGGTACCGGTGAAGAGTGATAAGCCATGTAGAGATGCGGGATTTCTCTACAGAAATAGGATGACAAATATTATTTGGGATACTAAATAACTTGATGTTTGGAAGTTTGTATACATTATTATGAAATACTTGTTATTAGTAGTTTTGTTTAATATAAACAACTTTTGTATCATATATTTTTTGAAACATAATTCACCAACATATATTACGATACATTAAAAACAAAACAAACATTTGAAATAACATAGTAACATTACAGAAAACATTGCAAATAAAAGATGAACGACTAACAAATATTACATAGAACATTACGAATAAAAGAGTCGTCTACATGAAAAAGGGTTTATTTCTAACCAGATTCCAAACGTCCGTATACTCGAACTCAGTTTCATCAAACTGGCACAGGTAATATCCGTTCACGTATTCAAGAAGTTCTTCATCATCAGCATCAGAGCATCGCATTTTCTCATAATTGTAGCATCGATTGTACCATGTGACTTTAGTCTTTAAATCCATCCATTTACTAACAATATCGGGTTTTAGTCGTTTTTGTCCTTGTCCCACGTTATAGTTGAACAAAGTTACTAAGCGGGACCATTCATCACCAAGAAGGCAATTAAGGGGAGCTATTACCGGCAGACCCTCGTAAACGGTAATCCAGCATCGTGTTAGGACCAACACCTCTGTTGTCGTCCATGGAGATGTACCATTTGTTGGAGCAGACGCATTAGACAGATTAGCTGCATTTGAAGACGTTGGTACATTGGATGCCATTTTGTGAAATGATCCCTTACCTCTAATTCGGACGTATAGATACTTGCTTTACTATATATAAAAAGATAGGTAACGCGGACTGACAAGTCAGTAACGCGGACTGACGAATAGCTATGCGGACTGACAAGTCAGTAACGCGGACTGACGAATAGCTATGCGGACTGACGAATAGCTATGCGGACTGACAAGTCAGTAACGCGGACTGACGAATAGCTATGCGGACTGACGAACAGCTCTCTGCGGAGTTGAAGGGTCTATATATTGTCATGGATGATCGTTGGATATTTGCGGACTGTCATGTCTATATAAAACGACAAAAATTATGTATCACTTCATCTAATCTATTTTAGTTCATGTAGTTTGTATGTTTACAATGGGTTCAAACCCATGGACCGCTAACGAGTATTTGCTTCTAACTCGTGCATATATTAATCTCTATGAGAACACCAGTTTGGAGGATAGAATGTTTTGGGTCCTATTAACGAATACGTTCAACACTGACGCTGAAACCACCATAGAAAACCATCGCAACACGCTTGATATAGCTGGAAAATGGTATGAATTGAAACAAAAGTTGTGTTATTCAACGATCTTTATAATAAGATTGAAGACGATCGTGTGAATGATACTGAGGAAGACATCTTGGAGGCGGCTAAAGAAGAATACAAATCCATTAGCAATGGACAGAGTTTCGAGTATGAAGCCCCTTGGAATCTTTTGAAAAATGTCCCCTTTTTTTAACTAGTACTGCATTTTGTATTGTTCTTGTATTGCTTTATTTATATGTAATATGGTATTTATCCTTTATATTATGAAAAATAATTCCCATGTTTTAAAAACCATACATTCAAACAGGTTACGCGGACTGACAAATAAGTTACACGTACTGACAAGTCATTTACGCGGACTGACAAGTAAGTTATGCGGAATAATGTATACTAATTCCTTATAAATTGGACAAGCATTTCCATTTTTACAAGGTGTCGAAAGTTGTGAAAATGAGTTCAGTCAATCAGGTATTAAGAAAAAGTTTCTCCAGCCTACCGACTTTTTTCCATAATCTGCAAAGAACCAATCCTAACACCTTCACGTACATTACGAAAGATCAGTACAATCGTTTCCAAATTTGTTTCGTGGCATTGGGATGCGTGGTATGTAATCCCTTATAGTAAATAAATATTTAGTTATTTCAAGTTGTTATATGCCTAATATTCTTATGTTGACTTACAGATTCGTACGTTTCTCACGTCTATAATACCAATCATATTTGTTGGTCAAGTACCTCTAATTGGGGCGTATGTAAGATCCATGTACTTTGCGGTTGCTTTAGATGGAAATCATGAACCCCTTCTCATAGCGTTTGCTTTGGGAACCATAAACCGTGACAATTCATGGTTATGGTTCATGAGGAGGCTTAAAGAATGTTTAGGTGACAATACAGAAGTTGGTTTCATAAGGCATATGTCTGATTCTATAGACTTTTCAGTTCAAAGAGTCTACCCTGATTCATATCATGGCTATTGTTGTAAAAATATAGTCGAGAAAATACGCGCTTCCATCGGAAGCAATACAGTCGTAGAGCAGTTGTTCTGGAAGACTTGTAAAGCGTATAATTTATCTCATTTTTATGCATGTTTGAACAACTTAAAAAATGAGGTTAATGGGAATGATCTTCATTGGCTTGACAATATTCCCATTGCAAAATGGGTACGGGCTTGTTTTCCAAGAGTACGTTTCAATGTTAAATTCATTGACATTCCCGTTGTTGTCAATTGGTTTAAAACAAACACGCATGAGTTTCCAATAACAACAATCATTGAAATGGTCCATAACTCGATGCAAGTAGTGTATCTTCAACGTGCTGTGTTTGGAGGTAATTATAAGTTATGACATCACTCAAATGGTGAATTGATATGTTATTATATGTTATGACATCATAATTTTTGTTTTTTGATTCAGTTCATTTCACAGGGGATTTTCATGGTCTTCTAACCCCTTATGCACTTAAGGTGATTCCTAAAAGATTTATCCGCTCGGATGGTTGTAGGATTACGCATATTGTTGGCGACAAATATGAAGTGACTAAGTATTCAACAACCAAATATGTCCAATTAGACCGTGGTATTTGTAGTTGCGGTAAATGGCAAAAATGCGGTATACCTTGTGAGCATGTTATAGCTGATGCGTTTTAGTTACAACAAATAAACTAGAAAAACAATTCCTAAGTTCACATGCAACCTACTTTGGATCTATGTTTTAACTATTGAACATACAACTTTGAATTGCAATACAAGAACCCTAGAGGAGAGAGGCTATTATCGAAAATAGTAAACTAGGGTTTAGGGTTTACATACCTTTCAATTGTTATAGCAAACAATTGATATTCCCTTGATCTTGATCTTGATCTTCTTGGAAGCTTAGCACCACAAATGTAATGCCTCTAATGGAATCACACCCAAGGACTAGCAAGAAGGAAAGTAGAAGAGAGAGGAGAGAGGGAGTATGCAAAATCTCGGCCAAGGTATTCTTCCAAAGAATCAGTACACAAAATGTGAGCCAGGAGGCTCCTTATATAGCTGAGGGATCTAGGGTTTAAGGGAAACCCTAGTTATCCTTTGCTTAGGGCCTAAGCAAACCCAAGGGCCTTATCCAAGCCCCTATGGACGAAATTATTAGGGTTTCCCCTAAAGATTTCGTCCACCCTCTTCCAAGGGGGTTCTAGAGCCTTCCACTCAACTATTAGATAATTGCAAACTAGTCCCTGCACCTTATAATTAATTCTTTTAACCCCAAAATCAATTCTGATTAATTTCTGGCTAACAATTAATTAAACATAATGATTTCTAATTAATATATTAATCCATTAACATATTAATAAATCATTTATATATATATATATATATATATATATATATATATATTAATTTAGTAATCTTATAATTAATATCTCTCCTTTCATAATTTCCTTGTCCAGTTGCTAGGTTGAGGGCAACCCAAAAGGACTGTGCTGCTGTCAATTCAAGTACATACCAATTATAGTTATGGGCTTAGACACCTAATCCAACAGTCTCCCACTTGGATAAGTCTGTAACTATAATTGCTAGTATGCCTTCTAAATTTGACCACAAATTGTAGCTTTCCAAAAGCTGCTTGCCGAACGCTGACCCAGTCAGTTACGTGTCCTAAGATAAGTGATCATATAACCTTCGTTCTGCTGATATCCCCAGACAAAAGACATGGAATGTAATCAATCTGTTTTCCAGAATCTATGTTTCCCGATTCCTGATTTGTGATGATGTAGGACTTCTAATCGAACACATCAATTTAGTCCTGGCTGGGCCCAGCACATAAGTAAACCCAAATCATCGAGGGGCCACACAGATATCGCTTTTTTTCCTGTTAGGGCAAAAGGAACGAATAAATGTTGACTCATATGCGTGTATCTTTTACTCATCAAATTATGCATGACAATACGTTTTATATAACACAAGTTACTGATGCGTTTTCGTATCACCAATGCACAACCGACTTGTAAATACAACTCATATATCTTCGTTTCAAGATTATAAGATATTATCGTCTCAGATTAATCGTGATGAATTCCATGAAGTAATATCTCTGAGCGTGGGTTTATCCAATACTCAAATCTCAATTTCTGAGTACTCATGAACATTGCAGCAATTCTATTGCCATGTCTATCCTTAGACAATCTGCAATCCAATTCATGACAGTCTTAATTCACTACTTACTTCCAAGAGTACGAGCGACTGTGGAGTTTGAATAATCTCATTATTCAGGAAGTAAAACATGCAAAATATGAAACACAGTAATAAACAATTGACAAAGGTAGTAGCCAAACTTATAAATAATACTTTATTATTTAATCACCAAAAGTCAATTACATTTACTTTGTTACAAGTTTCAAAAACTAATCTAACTACTAAACTAATATCATCTTTCAGTCCCTATGCTCCGAGCATGCTGAATATGCTTAGCCCTACTCAGACCCTTTGTGAGGGGATCTGCTGGGTTATCTTCAGATGACCCCCTCTTTACTATAAGATGGGCCTTCTTCACCGATGTCTAATGAAATGGTACTTTCTGTCGATATGTCTGGTCTTACCATGATCTCTCGGTTCTTTGTCAAGGCAACCGCTACTTCATTATCGCAGAAGAGTTCCATAGGCTCCTGGATGGTTGGAACAACTCCGAGATCCCCGATGAAGTTCCTCAACCAAGCTGCTTCTTTCGACGCTTCACGTGCTTGCAATGTACTCTGATTCACAAGTAGAATCAGCCACACCGTATTTTGCTGGACTCTTCCAAGTAACTGCTCCTCGCATTCAGTAAAAATACCCAGCCCGAC